ACTTCATAAGAAATAGGTAATATTTAAGTTATGAAAAGTATAATATTTAACATACTCTTTTTACTGAAACTGTTGATATCATTAATGAGAAGGATGCATCTGATGACTGTCACAAGTGGCATTGATATTTGGTTGGAGGGATGAAAGAGACAAAGGGGGGGGGAGTGAAAGGTCACAGATATGCAAAGCATGGCCCCAGATATTTATTGACCCCCCTTTTGACCCCCCTTTTGACCCCCAGCCATTTATTGACCTCTTTGATAGCCCCATTGACCCTTAGGGGTCAATATTGACCACTTTGGGGAGCCCCAATAAGTGTCTACCCAAAAACACTGACAGTATATGTTTTTTTTTAACAAGTCGGCCGTCTCCCACCGAGGCAGGGTGACCCAAAAAGAAAGAAAATCCCCAAAAAGAAAATACTTTCATCATCATTCAACACTTTCACCACACTCACACATAATCACTGTTTTTGCAGAGGTGCTCAGAACACAACAGTTTAGAAGCATATACGTATGAAGATACACAACATATCCCTCCAAACTGATAATATCCCGAACTCCTCCTTTAGAGTGCAGGCATTGTACTTTCCATTTCCAGGACTCAAGTCCGGCTATATAAAAATAACCGGTTTCCTCGAATCCCTTCACTAAATATTACCCTGCTCACACTCCAACAGATCGTCAGGTCCCAAATACCATTCGTCTCCATTCACTCCTATCGAACATGCTCATGCACACCTGCTGGAAGTCCAAGCCTCTCACCCACAAAACCTCCCTTACCCCTTCCTTCTAACCTTCCTTTCTACCCCACCTTCCTTCCCCTACAGATTTATATGCTCTCCATGTCATTCTACTTTGATCCATTTTCTCTAAATGACCAAACCACTTCAACAACCCCTCTTCAGCCCTCTGACTAATACTTTTATTAACTCCACACCTTCTCCTAATTTCCACACCGAATTTTCTGCCTAATATTTACACCACACATTGCCCTTAGACAGGATATCTCCACTGCCTCCAACCGTCTCCTCGCTGCTGCATTCACAACCCAAGCTTCACACCCATATATGAGTGTTGGTACTACTATACTTGTATACATTCCCTTCTTTGCCTCCATAGATAATGTTTTTTGTCTCCACATATACCTCAATGCACCACTCACCTTTTTTCCCTCATCAATTCTATGATTAACCTCATGCATTTATGGAGCATTTTCCCCACAATACAAATGCCTTACATTATATACAAATTATCTTCACATTAATACAGTAGCCTGAATAACAGTTGCCATGAGCCAGGGTGTGTTATCGGTGATTCATTGTTTACAGATTTGTGTACTCTGCATCTCTCTGTATTCTGGCAATTTTCCATTTTCAAATTCACTACTCACAACTTATGTAATGAGTCTACTGTATATGCATTTTACTTTAATTTTTTTAAGGCCTAGCTCTATTGTTTACTTAATATATGATAGTGTAAACATGTTATCAGGCTTTTATATGTCTTTTAAAATGAAAGAAAGGCTGACTCGTTTTACAGTGATTTTTGCTTTATGGTAGTAGCCTGGAACCTAACCTGTCGTATAATCAGGGCCCTACCCTACTTCTCATGGCTGAGAGATTGACTATCTCAAAGCTATTCTTCAAGGATAATTGATTAATCACATCTTCACTTCTTTAGCGCTGCTGCTGTCTTCATATTTTGTAACCTCTGTATTTGAAGAAACAGCAAGTCTTCATAAAGATATAATTAAAATCTTCCATTGGGCCTCAGACAATATATGATATGATATTCAGTGAGGACAAGTTTCAGTTGCTTCTCTATGAGAGAATGGAGAAAGTAAAGGCTGAAACAGAGTATGGGACAATATCTCAACATTCAGTAGAGTGAAGAGCTCACATTCAAGGATGACATCAGTGCCTCTGTTGCTACCAAAAGGAAAACAACAGGTAACTAGAACTTTTAAGAGAAGGGATGTGGAGCCAGTGATGATACTCCTTAAGTCACTTTTTCTTCTCACCAGGCTAGAATTCTGCCGTATCCTTATGGCTTACTTCAAGGCAGGCAAGATTGCTGAGCTGGAAAATGTGCAGAGAATTTTCACTGCATACAGTCAATCAAACATTTAAACTACAGTGGACCCCCGCATAACGATTACCTCCGAATGCGAACAATTATGTAAGTGTATTTATGTAAGTGCGTTTGTACGTGTATGTTTGGGGGTCTGAAATGGACTAATCTACTTCACAATATTCCTTATGGGAACAAATTCGGTCAGTACTGGCACCGGAACATACTTCTGGAGTGAAAAAATATCGTTAACCGGGGGTCCACTGTATTGGAAATGTTTGAAGACTCTTCAGCTTTATTTCTTGAAACATAGGCAAAAAAGGTTCTGTACATCATTATCTTCACCTGAAAAATCCTGGAGGGACTGGTCCTAAGCCTGCAAACCAAAATCACCCCTATGAACACAAGAAACTTGGCAGACAGAGCAAAGTACCTCTAGTGAAAAACTGGGGTGTGACATGTACAATAAAAGAAAACTCAGTGGGTGTCAGAAGTCCTTGACTTTTTAATGCCCTCCCTTTGTGCAAAAAGGGATTTACCAACAAACCTCTGGTTGTCTTAAAGAGGGAACTGGATAAGTTTTTCAAAACAATTCCTGACCAGCTGGTCTTTGGCTTGTATATTAGATTGTGTGGGGCTAGCTGTAACAGCTAGGTTGATCAGGCCTTGATCCACCAGGAGATGTGGTCTGGAACTGTGCAGTGAGGGCACTGGCCTAAGCAACACAACAAACAACTTTAAAAAAAAATCCAGTTGGGACATATAGTATGTACTAAGTACTGATTGGAAATAAAATAAACAATCAAATAAGCCATGAAATAAATAACACATGAAATAAATAGTAGGTTGGTAGACAGCAACCTCCCAGGGAGGTACTACCGTCCTGCCAAGTGAGTGTAAAATGAAAGCCTGTAATTGTTTTACATGATGGTAGGATTGCTGGTGTCTTTTTTTCTGTCTCATGAACATGCAAGATTTCAGGTACGTCTTGTTACTTCTACTTACACTTAGGTCACACTACACATACATGTACAAGCGTATATATACATACCCCTCTGGATTTTCTTCTGTTTTCATTCTAGTTCTTGTTCTTGTTTATTTCCTCTTATCTCCATGGGGAAGTGGAACAGAATTCTTCCTCCTTACGCCATGCGTGTTGTAAGAGGCAACTAAAATGCCGGGAGCAAGGGGCTAGTAACCCCTTGTCCTGTATATATTACTAAATGTAAAAGGAGAAACTTTCATTTTTCCTTTTGGGTCACCCCGCCTCGGTGGGATACGGCCGATGTGTTGAAAGGAAGAATTAGAAAACAAAAATGTAGGTCAGTTCCTAGGCTTACACATAGATAAATTAAAATTTATAATTTTTACTATTAAAAGCTTATAATTTTTACGGGCCACCCTGCCTTGGTGGGAATCGGCCGGTGTGATAATAAAAAAAAAATAAAAAAATTTTTACTGATGAACAGTGGTGGTTTAAGAGTTAAGAAAGCCCAAGACAAGTAACCAGGGCCCCCTGACGTTGAAATTTTATTGTCTCATTACACACTGGTATTATTTTATAGTGTTAACTAGCTTTGTTTTTATCTTCAAATGATGTGAATTTGTTTGAAAAGCTTAAAAACCGTCTCTTTAAAATGTTTAATGTCATATAAGTTCTGTTTCAGAGTACAGTTGAACCTCAAAAATCGAACTTAATCCGTTCCAGGAGCTAGTTCTAAATTCGAAAAGTCTGAAATTCGAAGCAGTATTTCCCATAAGAAATAATGGAAATACAATTAATCCGTTCCAGAAACCCAAAAATATTCACACAAAAAATACATTTTATAGAGATTAATTACAGTTTTATATACAACAAATACTATAGTTTTTAATTATGTATAGTAATACATATAAAATAACATTTTTACTTACCTTTATTGAAAGATTGGTGATGGCATCTGGAAGATAGGGAGGAGGAGAGAGGGAGTTGGGGTTACTGTTTGGAAGGAGAATCCCCCTCCATTAGGACTTCAGGTAAAGCCATCTCAGGGGTTACTTCCCTTCTCTGTCTTTTAGTGCCACTAGGACCAGCTTGAGAGTCACTGGATCCCTGTCTCACAAAATAACTGTCCACAGTCCTCTGTTTCTGGCACCTCTTTAACATTTCCCTAAAATGGGACATGGTTCTGTCACTGAACTTGTTGCAAAGATGGCTTGTTTCAGCTTGCTCAGGGTGGTACTTCTGCACAAACATTTGGACATCATTCCACTTGGCACAAATCTCCTTAATCTTTGAAGAAGGCACCTCATCCACTCCCTATATTAACACCTTTCGCAACATCAGCTTCCTTGATTTGTTCTTTCTTTGACAGGATAGAACCGATGGTCGACTTGTTTTTCCTGGCAAGCTCAACAAGTCTCACACCACTCTCATACTTCTGTATTATTTCCTTCTTCACATCTATGGTGTTTCTCACTTTCTTTACCACAGGGGTACCACTAGCAAGTTTCTTTGGGCCCATGGCAGCTTATTTCACAGTCCCACAAGCACTAAACACAACGAAATAATCGTAAAATGCGTGAATGAGAGCGCAGGTTAGTGTTCACTCAAGCATAAACAAAGCTAGACTGCTCACGGCACCTTCGCAGGGACACGGACAGAGCAGGCGGCAGACAGGTCCCGTACCTGGCGGTCCGAAAATAGGGGCGCATTCGATAATAGGGACACAGTTTGTCCAAAAAATGGTCCTATTTTCGAAACGTTCGATATGTGATACGTTTGATTTTTGAGGATCCACTGTATATTTTTGTGCCTAGGTTGCCCAGAACCCTACTTTGTGGGGACCCAGGACTAGCACCTCTGTTGCCCATCTATCCTTCCTTTATAACAACACTGTTAATCTTTGCAAATGGTGTGCTGCTGCATATTTTTTATTCCTTTAACAGATTGAGAGTGGCATTGATAACCGTGTACGTGTGTTAATTCTTGGCGGACTGTATGGAGCTCAGCCTGTAGGAAGGGAATTGGTCATCCGATTAGCAAGACATCTTGGCAGTGGCTGGGCCAAGAAAAATAGAGAAGTACAGAAACTGCTACAAGATACACAGATTTTCTTAGTACCAGCAGTGGATTCTAAAGGCTTTGATAAAGCTGAAGCAGGTAAATACGTAACTTGACATGGAGTGAGTGTAGATGCATGTGAAACTGTGATGTAGAATGATTGTTAGGTGCATGTTAATTTATGAATACTGTATTTTTTTTTTAACATGCCTGACAATTAACCATTTCAGGGTCCAGAGGCCAAATTTCAAAGTGTGCACCAGGGTCCAAGAAATTTCAAAAAATAATTTTGTTGTTTTTTCTTATGAAATGGTAGAGAATCTTTTTCTGAAGGTAATAAAACAAAAATTACGAAATTTGATGGAAAATTGACGAAATTATGCTCTCGCGAATTTTGTGTTGGCGACATTTACGCATCGGCAATTTTGCCAACTTTGACTCCCATTTTAGGACAATTACAATATTCCAGTCAACCAGCTTCTTAGCTATTTCACTAGTATTACTTCTATTCTATCGATTGAGCACAAGAAATTGCCAAGTCAACTATTTCAACAACAAAATAAAGTGACTGGAAATTGGTAATTTGGCCAATTTAATGCAAGGTTCAGAATATTCCAATTTCAAAATAGGGTCCAGAATAAACAATGCAGGCATTCCTGGCACTAAACTAACATTTCCTCTGTTCATTAGTTATGTTTTCAGGCTTTACAAATGAATTCCATTTTTATTTTTTATTCACATAATGAATTTTTATTCAAACCAAAAAATAGAAGATTTACTGTTATGCAATATTGTAATAATTGTATAAATAATATCACCACATTTGTGAATGTATATTAGACCCACCAGCTGGTGTGTATTAGACGTGTGAGGTCATTTGTTTACTCTTGAACATCGGCAAAAATTTAACATTTCTGCTACTTTGAGCTCAGTCTCAAGCCATTTCCAGTACTAAAACCAATCAAAATCATCTCTATTTCTCTAGTATATCTTCCATTCTATCAAATGAGACCAAGAAATTGCAAATACAACTATAAAAAACATATGAAAAAACACTGCAAAGTCACTGTTTTAATCGAAAATCACGGTCTCAGTTTTTTTTCTTATTGTGTACTGTGTGCTGCAGGATTTGTTTTATGTGGTGCACACATACTACATAGATGTATTCTCTCATATCTAGGCCCAAATTTACTGCTCACAGCTTATCAGAGTGAGCTGAGCTCATGGCGTAGATCTACAGTTTGGACCCTGAACATAAAGCTGTAGATCTACGGCATGGACCCTGAAAGGGTTAAAGGCAGGGTAACCCCCCCCCCCCAAAAAAAAAAAAAAAAAAATCACCATCATTCACACATAATCACTGTCTTTGCAGAGGCACTTATATATGACACTACCCAACTTTTCTCATAACCAACTTAGGTAGACTGCCTCAGGACACAGCTAAGATCTCTTTTTGACCACATGATGAGTCATCAGTAAATAATTTTATGCAACACTGGCTGGGTGAATTAAAAAAGGCACAATACCATGACTGGAACAATACACAAATAACCCGCACATAGAAGAGAGGAGCTTACGGCGACGTTTCGGTCCGACTTGGACCATTTACATCGTCGTAAACTTCTCTCTTCTATGTGCAGGTTATTTGTGCTGGTGAATTAGCAGACAGCTACGATATTGATGAATGTGTCAAAATATTTCTACACAAAACCCATAACCTCTATAATAGACATTGTCCAATGAAAACGAAGCAGATCTCACCAAAGACTAAATAGCCTCTGGCTTACAAATAGTATACAGTGAACCCCCGACTTATGATATTAATCCGTTCCAGAGAGCTCATCGTTAGACGAAATTATTGTTAGTCAAATTAATTTTCCCCATAAGAAATAACGGAAACCCAATTAATCCATTCCAGACACCCAAAAGTATGAAAATTTTTTTTTTAACACATGAAGTATTCATTTTCCTACACACAAAAAGAAGGATACATGCACAATATATATTGTGTACTACTAAATGAAGAATACTAAATACTAAATGAACAATAAATGACACTTACCTTTATTGAAGTTGTAGTGATGTGTGATGAGATGGGAGGAGGGGAGATGGAAGTGTATTAATTTTTGGAAGGGGAATCCCCTTCCATAAGGACTTTAGGTAGCAAGTCCTTTTCTGGGGTTACTTCCCTTCTTCTTTTAATGCCACTGGGAACAACTTGAGTCACTGGACCTCTGTCGCACCAGAAATCTGTCTATAGAGTTCTGTACCTCATGTCCTTTAAGATTTTCCTAAAGGGGGTCACAACATTGTCATTGTAAAAGTCACCAGCCTTGCTTGCAATAGCTGTGTCAGGGTGATTTTTCTTCTATAAAGGTTTGCACATCAACCCACTTTGCTCAAGTTTCCTTAATCTTTGAATAAGGCAACTTCCTCCATTTCTCTCCCCTCTGAAGCAATTTCCTCAGTTGTGGCCTCTTGCTGTTGCAGATGCTCTTGCATCTCATCAGTGGTTAGTTCTTCACCGTCGTCCTCCACCAACTCTTCCACATCCTCCCCACTAACCTCCAACCCCAAAGACTTCCCCAATGCTATAATAGATTCCACAACTGGCATAGGCTCCTCAGGGTTAGCCCCAAACCCTTCAAAATTCCTCTCTTCTACACATTCTGGCCACAGTTTCCTCCAAGCAGAGTTCAAGGTCTTCTTAGTCATTCCCTCCCAAGCATTACCTATAAGGTTTATGTAATTGAGGATACTAAAGTGATCTTTACAAAGCTCTCTTAGGGTCAGTTGAGTGTCTGAGGTCACTACAAAGCACTTTTGAAACATTCCTTTGGTGTACAGTTTCTTGAAATTTGAAATGACCTGCTGGTCTATGGGCTGGAGGAGAGGAGTGGTATTAGGAGGCAAAAACTTCACTTTTATGAAGCTCAGCTCCCCCAAAATTTGCTCTGCCAAGTCTGAAGGATGACCAGGAGCATTGTCTAATACCAGGATGCACTTAAGTTCCAATTTATTTTCCAGGAGATAATTTTTGACAGTTCGGCCAAACACATGGTAAATCCAGTCATAGAAAAAGTCCCTAGTGACCCATGCCTTACTGTTTGCCCTCCATATCACACACAAATTAGCCTTGACGACATTGTTTTTCCTGTACACTCTGGGAGTTTGAGTGATACACGAGTAGAGGCTTCACTCTGCATTCCTCACTAGTATTACTACACAACATTAAGGTTAGCCTGTCTTTCATAGGCTTGTGTCCTGGCAGTGCTTTTTCCTCCTGTGTAATGTAGGTCCTGTTTGGCATTTTCTTCGAAAACAGGCCTGTTTCGTCACAATTAAACACTTGTTGGGGTTTCAATCCTTCAGCCTCTATGTACCCCTTGAATTTCTGCACATAAACGGAAAAGGCAAAACCAGTATCTGAGCGGTGGACATGACATCAAGAAAAGGAAGCAAGGAATTAGATTCCCATTCAGCTTTAAACTTAATGAAAGGGACAAGATTATTAAGAGCATCAAGAAATGGCTGGAAGAGACAAGAGTCATGAGGCCACAGAGCAAAGATGCCATCAACATAGGAGAGCCAGAGTGAAGGTCGCACATCGATAGTAGGAAGAAGAACAATCTAGAAGTATTCCATGTAAAGATTAGCAAGGACAAGAGAGAGAGGAGAGCCCATAGTGACACCGAAGGTTTGAGAATAATATTTCCCTTGGAAGGAAAAGGAATTTAGAGTTCACACAGAGGTGGAAAAGATCAAGAAAGACATCACTAGGTATAGGGAGATGAAGAAACCCTTCATTGGCCTTCTAAGAAAATCAAGGACATCATCAAGAGGGACATTGGTGAAGAGGGACTCAACGTCAAGACTAAGCATCTTACAGGTCGGGAGAGAAGCGAAACCCGTTCAATGAAGTCTTGAGAGTAACTGAGGTGGGCAGGAGAAAAAGTCCCAAGAAAGGGAGTGAAGGTTTTGGCAGCCATGAAGCAAGAGAATAAGAGACAGAACTCTAGAGGATATGATAGGATGTAGGGGAATATCAGGTTTATGGGTTTTGGGAAGGCCATAGAAATAGGGCAGAGAGGGACAGATGACACAAAAACGTTGAACAAGGTCAAAGTCAGGAGGACAGAGGTCAGAGAGAGTCCTTAGTTTCTTGTTAAAAGTTCTCTTGATGCGATCAAGAGGGTTGGAAACGAGGAGTGTTGTGTAGTGAGTCAGAGAGCAAGGCATCAGCTTTACGGAGGTAATCCTCACGATCAAGGACAACTACCAAATTGCCTTTGTCAGAGGATAGTATGACAATGTTGGTGTTGGATTTAAGAGAAGAAAGGGCAAGTTGGTAAAGGCACAGAAGGTGGTGGTTCTTTGAAAACAGACTATCAAGAGCAGGAAGAAGAGCGCCATGAAAGGTGGACAAGTCAGGAAGATTACGGGAGCGAGGCTGATGAAAAGAAACAAAAGAGCTAATCAGTGCAATACCAGCGTGAGGGGTAGGTGAAGTGGCAAAGGAAAGACCAAAACCAAGAAGTTCAAGCTCATATTGAGAGAGTGTGACAGAAGACAGGTTAGTAACACAGTCAGTGAGGGAGAATTTAGACCAAGGACTAGCTGAGATGAGACGTTGAAGTTTATTCCATAGTTTAGAAGAATGAATTTGTGAATTCAGGCGAGCAGTGTCAGTGGTCAGTCGTCACGTTAGGTCACAAACCCTGAGCTGCTTTGGGGATTAGCGTGGACGGTTACAAAGCATGGCTTGCTTCTGCAGTGTTTTAAAAATTGAGGTTGGGGAGTTGAAGGAGGAGGTCTTGCTTCTCCAGGAGGAGATTAGGAGGCTGAAGGTCCACCTCAATGGGTCTGGGAGAGAGTGTGAGGTGGCTGGAGTTGTGGGGAATGAGGCTTCTAGCAGTGAGGTGCAGTCTGTCTCTCGCTGTAAGGAGGCTGTAGGTGGGGGAGGGTAGCAACGGCTACCAGCAGTGAGGTGCAGCCCAGCACCTGCTACAAGTGGCGAGTGGTTCACAGTAATGGGAGGCGCATCAGAGTAAGGAAAGTTAAGAGTAAAGATCTGAAGGTAGGAAATCGCTTCTCTGTTC